TGAATGTGGACGTGGTTCCAGCAGGCAGTACAGAAACACTCTCATCATAGCAGGAACTATGGCAGACCTACAGACACCGGGGGTGGGTCATGTGGGGCCAGGAATTCAAAGTAATATGCTCGTCTGTGTCTCTGTCCCGGGTATAATTATGGACCTCTCTCAGGCACGGGGGGCTTCGATCTCGGCATCTCGGGAAACGCGCCCCGCTAATGATTTATGAGCTTGTGTTACATTTTCACGAGTCCTGAGCTGATAAACAACCCAAAAGTCGGCTAATGAAATGGAAAGCACACCACCAAAGCCTATGTAAGGCAGAGGTAATCCGGGCATTTAGCTTTTAAATCGCTCATTTTGCTGCTCGTCAAACTTTTCGTTCGCCAGCGTTCCATTTTACTTTGGCAGGATTGTAATGAAACCGTAGCCTCTGTGTTACTATCCATTAGGTTAGCGAGGAACCTGCCATTTGCTGTGTATGTCATTCCCTGGTCCGCGTGCATCCTCTGGTTTTGTATCGAGCAGAATAACGGCAAGTCGATAGACATTGTAGCCAAAGCCTCACAGAGGCAGCCTCAGACTGAGGCGTTCCTGAAGACAGCTCCCTCTGGCTTTACTGAAGCACCACATCTATTCATTTATCTCTAGTTTCCTGCTCATGTAGTACTCTTGTTACCTCAAATTATGGCAATCTTTACCCATATGAAGTGATTCCACTATATCCTATTTGTGATTAATGGATGCCAGTTTTTAAATGTTTTCGGTGCACTGTGTATGTAATAGATTCCTTTCTTGTTTTGTGAGATTTGTGATTGTTTTTTTTTTTCCGTTGGCAAATTGAAATCAGATCCATGCAGGAAAATGATTTAACTCCCGTCACAGTCAGTTATGTGACATGCCAATGTTAGGCTCTGTTCTCCTTTCATCCTGTTTTAATTCCTTTTGTTTTTTCGGGGTTGTTACAGGGTGGAGGGGTGATATTCTCATATTCAGCAGCACAACAAAAGGCCTTAAAGTAAACAAATCTGCTTCTCTATCAGGAGGCCTGCTTACGCACTCGCACAGGCGCGGATAACAGACGGCCAGGCCGTCTCCTGGAGACTGACCGGAATATCGGCTGATATCGAGCCAGCTTCATAAGGATACCACCGCATGGAAAGCCCTAGACCAGTCAGGGCCAAAATGTCTCCAAAATTGCCTCCAGGTTTATTTATTTTTCTGAAACAGATTTATCCGGATGGGCGCCATTTATGAACAGCTATTAGTTGTGCAAAAAAAATTACTCCTGACTATTACCTGTAAGCAGCACAATTCTCACCTATGCTCGACCCGGAATGTCCTGTAGCATCATCTCATACTGTAGGTGATGGAATATGAGCTACGTGTCTTCAAGAAGCTTTGCCAGCCACCTTTTCTCTCTTAAAATCAAAGCCACGCTCCACTTAAGTCGCCGGTCTAAGGTTTGCCTGCAGGGACAGACTATGCACAGACTATGCACAGACTATGCACAGACTATGCACAGACTACGCACAGACTACGCACACGTCGCCGCCCGAGTGCTGAGGGGTTGCGGAATCCACCTGCATCTTGCTTGCTTTCAGGTCTGCACCCCCCCCCCCCCCCCCCCCCCCACCATGCCCTGAATTATAAATGAGCACTAATAGACTGCTTTTCTCTCACTTAACTCGCCGCTCCTGCAGGGTGTGCTGGCAGATCTCTCTTTAAATGCACCCGCCCCACCCCCCACGTTCCCCATTTGCAAATCCCCACCACGCCGCTAATTTCCCAATCCGTTTAGCAGCCGGTCACCCCACTGCTGGGGGGTCTTTGTAGGGTGGGGGGACAGGAAGGCAGGGAAAAGCTTCCTCACAGACCAGTGTGAAAGCTCAACGGGAGTCTTACTCTGTAACTGACGTCGTTACTCATTGAGAAATGTTACCTGGGCGTCACTTGCTGGGTGCCACCCTCAACCCCAGCACCAGCAACCCAGTTTAATTATTAGTGAAGTGGAACACGTGGTCATGGCTTTCCTATGTAGGCGGGGCACAAAGGGGGGTGATTCCTTTCATGAAACCAAAATCGCTTTTCCAGTCCAAAATGGATTTTTCAGGCTCCCGCTGTTCCCAGCTCACAGTGGGCTTGAAGGTGCCCGAGGGGGGGCCTTGGGGATGCTGTTTGCTATCATTTGACTTCACCCTCACTGCCTGTAAAGGCAGCTGCATACTGCCAGCGCAGTGTAGTGCCCACCATGTAGTGCCTGCTGTGTACTGCCAGCTGCCTAGTGCCTGCCACGTAGTGCCCACCGAATATAGCCAACCACGTGGTGACAGCCACGAAGTGCCAGCTGCGGAGTGCCAGCTGTGTACTGCCAGCTGCCTAGTGCCTGCCACGTAGTGCCCACCGAATATAGCCAACCACGTGGTGACAGCCACGAAGTGCCAGCTGCGGAGTGCCAGCTGTGTACTGCCAGCTGCATAGTGCCCACCACGTAGTGCCAGCTGCGTACTGCCAGCTGCTTACTGCCTGCCATGTAATGCAAGTTGCGTACTGCCAGCTCCATAGTGCCAGCTGCGTAGCGCCAGCCGCTTAGTACCTGACACATCGTGCCAATCACGTACTGCCAACCATGTAATGCCCACTCTGTAGTGCCAGCCATGAAGCGACAGCCACTTCGTCCTTGCTGCATAGTACCAGCCATGTAGTGCCAGCTGCGTACTGCCAGTTGCATAGTGCCCACCAATTAGTGCCAGCTGTGTAGTGCCAGCTGCATACTGCCAGCTGCATAGTGCCCGCCATGTAGTATCTTTGTGTACTGCCGGCCATGTAGTACCCGCTGCGTAGTGCCAGACACATAGTACCCGACACGTAGTGCCAATCACGTACTGCCAACCATGTAATGCCCACTCTGTAGTGCCAGGCAAGAAGCGACGGCCACTTCATCCCTGCTGCAGAGTGCCAGCCATGTAGTGCCAGCCACGTAATGCCCGTCGCATAGTGCCAGTCATGCAGTGCCTGCTATGCAGTGCCTGTCATGTAATATCAGCTGTGTAGTGCCTCCATAATGCCAACTGCATAATGCCACCGATGTAGTGCAAGCCATGAAGTGCCTGCTGCGTAATGTCGCCCGCTTTGTATTATCATTTAATGCCAGTCACGTAGTGCCCGCAACAAAGTGCCAGCTGCACAGTGCCCGCCACGTCATGCCAGCCACCTCACTCTGAGCTTCCACCAAACGATCGTGGGTCAGTTATGAAATAAAACACTTTGAGACACTCCGTGGCAATATGGCGTCTCCGGGAGCAGCTTCTGCTTTAAAGGATTTTTAAATTCCAGCTGCCAGTCATTCTGCTCTTTATTTGAAAGTGAGCAGATGTGCACATCGGAAAGAGGATTGACAGGCCGGCTGATAGCATCGCTTTGAAGCATCGCCAACCGCCGATGCCGTGAAATCACTAGGCACGCGCACGCCCCCATTGGTGGGGAAATTGGAGCCTCCATCAGCTGGCCCATGCGGAGAAATGCTGGAGACGAGGCAGCCCGGTCAGACGGCTGGGAACGCAGGAAACGCCAGGGTGTGCCCTCCGCAAGTCGACTTACCGATGCGGAGGTTTGCTGCCGGCGCTGTCTGTGAGGATTGCAGGGAAGGGGTGGGATAATGGGGATGTTTCATAAAAGGGGATCACATTCTGGGCAGGAACGGTTTAGGTGAAGGTGCTTTGTGTGAAGTAGTGGGGCACGGGAGCCGCTCCGCTCCGCCAGCTGTCGGCGGGGATCTCGGCAGGGGATTATCCCTGAAATGGGATCAATCCTTCTACACGCCTGGGCTTGTTACTCACTGCTGCTTCGAGAAACAAAAAACCTCCGAAGAAGCATTGGCGCATAAATGAAGATGCTAGGAACGGCGCAGAGGGATCTGCTGCTCCTCCGGCTCCGTGATGTGCCCCCAGTTGGCACAGCATTAGCTTGAGAGGTACAAACGAACCGCGTGTCAAGAAGATGAAACAGGGGGTGCCACTTAAGACTTTGATTAAATGGATAGCACTGAACGGACTGATTTGTCATGTCAGAAAGTTCCGGATCCTCTTCGCCTGGGGGGAGGCTGTCACCGCTACTTCTGCCGCTCGCAAAGCACTGACTGAATCTGGGTCTAGCTGCTGGTCCGGTTCCGACACAGTGTTCCTGTTCACCATCACCACCTCCAAACGGGAGTGACCCCCACCCTTCCCCCACACAGCTCAGCACAGTGAACCTCACCCTTTGTCTGAGGGGCTATTTGAACTGGGCTTGCTCTTTATTAGGGGGGTGTCTGTCGTTTTAGGCTCTGGATTAAGACTCTGGTTTACGGTTAAACCTCAGGGTTAGGGTTAGGGTTAGGGTTAGGCTTCAGGTCGAAGCTCAGCTTTATATAATTTCTGTGTAATCTGACAAGTGCAGCAAGCATTCTGATTTGTTACCTACCTGTGTGAGAGGCTAACAAGCTAGTCATGGACTACATGCTGAGTTAAACACAAGGCATCAGGCTTGCTGAAATGAACACTTACGCTTCTATTTCGAACCTCAGTCCTTAGTCAGGCTTTTTTAAGGGCCCAATATATAAATAACTGAAAAGACTTAAATAGTTCTTTAAAATCCAGGAAGCTGTAATCATGGAACGGGTTACATTCAATTCAAAATTTAATCCAAAATGCTAAATTGCTCAAAATGCTAAATGATAATGATGCTCCTCGCCGACGTTATTGAGGAAGGTGCTGCGGTTGGGGGTGGGGGGGGATCACCAGTCGGATTTTCCCACCCTGACATCATGGTGCCTTAAGCGTCTGCGACCCCCCCAAGCCATTGATGGGTGTCCCTCTCCCATTGTCCCCAGGACTCAAGTGCCTCTCCTCTGTTTGGGCTCGTGCCCCCCCCCACCCACTCAACTGAGAGGCATCCCATTTCAGCTCTGTTGGGGGGGGGGTGCTATTTAAGAGCTCTAGGTAGAGCTCTATGTCTGTGGGTGTGTGGGGGAGTTCTGACCACAGGCTTTCAACTGTTTAAGAGAAGGGGAGCAATCCCTCCCGCTCCCTCTTTGAGTGGTGCTCTCGATCCCTCACTCTCTCTCTCTCTCTCTCTCTCTCGCCCGCTCACTCGCACTCTGGCTCTGCCTCCCGTTCTCCAGACCCAGCATCAGTGTGCCCTGCTAGGTGGATGGACTAGGCAGCCTACAGAGCAGGCGGACAGGACCGGTCAGAGGATCTGTCATCATCCCCGAGGAAGAGCGACGGAGACAGACTCCCTGGAGAGACCAATCTGAGCCACCCCATCACGCCAGTGCACTGGGGGATTGTTCAGCAGAAAGAGCGCTAGCAGTTTGTGAAGAGGTAAGTGTCTGCTGCTTCACCTGTTTGAGGTTTTGTCGCATTTGGCATACCGAGGGAAGTTACTTGTCTAAATTATATCATGTGAAAGAAAAAGGTTTGCTTTACATTTTCATGCCAAAATCATGATATATCTCTATATTTAATATTGCATGTCTCTCTTTGTATATATTTTCCAAGTGGTTTTGTATATATGGTGGTCTATGCTGAAATTTCATGTGGTTTTGTATATATGTCAGGTCAATGCTGAAATTTCATGTGGTTTTGTGTATATGGTGGTATACGCAAAAATTTCACATGGTTTGTTTTTATGTGTCTGGTCTATGCTGAAATTTCACGTGGTTTTGTGTATATGTCAGGTCTATGATGAAATTTCATGTGGTTTTCTGTATATGGAGGTCTATGCTGAAATTTCACGTGGTTTTGTGTAAATGGTGGTCTATGCTGAAATTTTATGTGGTTTTGTGTAAATGGTGGTCTATGCTGAAATTTCATGTAGTTTTGTGTGTATGTCAGGTCTATGCTGAAATTTCATGTGGTTTTGTGTATATGTCAGGTCTATGCTGAGATTTCATGTGGCTGGGTTTAGCCCCACAGCAGGCTGAACGCACGTGTGTGACACTCGCCCTGGTAGTTTGTTTAAGATCCACTGGTGGGTCCCCGGAAGCGGCCCGGGCTCGTGCTGGAGACGCGGCCGGGTGCAACGAGCCGCACTTCCCGCATACACGTCCGCTGCGGAAACGAGCCCCTTTGTCTTGCCGACTTGGTGATCCCCGAGTGAGAGGGAGCGGATCCCAGCACAGCTTCTGAGAACGGCACAGCCACCGGCTGCATCGACCCATTAAGCCTTTATGGGGGAAGTTGTTAATATTTTGAGCATGTTTCTGCCAGACATCTGGGGTTTGAGTCTGTGTGTGTTTTTTTAATGGAAGAGGAGCATACTGGGGGAGTGAACCAGCTACTGGGTAACTGGGGGGACTTGAGGAGCCCAACTTCAGCCCAGTTAGGAGAGTTCGGCTCCTTGCTGGAGCTCCTTGAGGGGGTGTCTGCCTCGGCCAGCTGGGCCGCGTTAGGGTGCCGCCACACTGCATCAGCTGGGTCCCGCTACTCTGCGCACATTTGACAGTGCGGGCTTGGGAAGCAGTGCATGTGTGGCTAGGGTTAGGAAGCGGGAATCCGAGGGGTGACACTGGAAGTATTGGGGGGTTAGCAGATACAGTTCAGGACCCCAGTGTGCGGGGGGCGGGGAGGGGGGGGCATTGCTGCATATCGGTGAACCCGAAATAATAATGATGCTTTCATTTATTTGCCCCTGTGACCCTCAACGAGATAAGCCGTTAGAGGCTGGATGGGTGGATTGATTTTTTCCAATCTGAAATAACTTAGCCAAAAATAAATGCTCACAGTAAGATTATGAGTGTGATTGTGAGTATGATTGTGAGCATGATCCTTGCATATCACGGGCCACTGAAGGTAAGATTAGCACTTGCCTGGGGGGGAGATTTCTGATTTAAATCAGGTATCTTTAAATTGGATTTGCGTATCGTGTGTATCAGTTACCCTCCAGGTCACGTGATCAAAAGGTGCAGGGCAGGTGAGCGGTGTCGAGGTGGGGTCTCCCAGGGGCCTGCCCTGCGTGTTGTTCCGTGGGTGTTTCTGTTTGGCAGCGGCTGCCCTTTGTTGCCACGCCGACCGTATGTGCATGTGTTTGTGTGCCCACCCTTTATGATGCCGCAGAAAGATGCGTGAGGAACGGGGGGGTCTTTATTTGGACAGCTGTCTTTACTAGGGGATGGATTCACAGTCCACTCGGAGCGTTTGTCTCGAACCGACCTCCTCCTGTGTTTCTTCGTCCTTGCATTGTCTGAGCCGTGTTAAAGGTACCCCACCCCCCCCGATCCCCCCAGCTTAGGAGCTCCGAGGCAGGAAGTGCCATTCACTGGGAAGGGCTGTCAAGCTCCCGGCACTCCATTAGACCACGGCCCCTCCCCGAACAAAAAGCAGACAGCCGGTCCCCGCACCTCTGTACCGAACAGGTGATTTATTGGCTGGTCCAGGTGCCATTAGACGGACAAAGATCTCAGCTCTAATACCCAATTACTGAACTCATTTGGGCAGGAGATAAGCCTGATTAGGCAGAGGAACGGGTCCATTTTCATTACCGGCCAAGGTCTTGGTTGGCAGGAGACTCATTTGATGATGTTCAGTGGTTTCCTTGTAGCTATGAAATGCCATATCTGGGTTACTCATTCTTACACGTTATGAAGAGATAATTGACATTTGGCGCATGGATTGCCACATAAAGGACATGTGTCTGTCACTGTCACACCGTTGTGCCTATTTATGGAGATGAACTGCATCCGGTTAGTATACTCCAGCTAACTGACAGGTCCTGTTAAGAAGCCAGCTTACCTTGTCTTGCTCCTTTCAAGAAATGACTCAAGACCCGTCTGTTCCAGGATCACCGCTACTCCACCGAAACCGCTCTGCCCTCCCTGATTGCTCTTACTGTTGCACTTCTGCTGCTTTGACTAGTTCGATTACTAGGGCTTTACTTTGACCAGAAGATGTTGTGTAGCTCCTGCTCTTAGAAGCTCAGCCGAGCCGCATTTATGCCGAGTCGACTCCCTGACAGCCACATGTTTGTAAGGTGCTATATGTCTCACTTATATGTGGACGAAAGTGTTTGCTGAATAAAATACATGTAAATAATAATGTAATAAGTGACCAGGAAGGTCTTCAACTGCCAGCTGGACACAACAGTTCAATCAGGACCATCTTTTGACCTTTATCACTTGAGCACTTTTATGACCGTCATAGTTGCTGGTTTTATGACAACATAAATCCCAGAATCCTCCTGGGGGGGTCCACCCAGTCATCATTCACACATCTGACAGTAAGGGACGAAAAAAAAAAACTGGAAAGACGCAGGTTTTTTGATGAACATTCTGGAAAATGCCTTCTCATTGTATCCTGGGAGCCTCGTTACCACTGACTGTTTTGGCTTCCATGACCCCCAACCCCCCACCCCCCTGCGCAGAAAGAGCCAGAGGGAGTCCCCAAGAATCTCCCCGTTGTGGAGGAGGGGGTTTGGTTGGAAAGACCAGCACATGTGTTTGATGCTGACATGACATTTCAGCTCACCCCTTTGCCCCCCCGCACTGGAATGCCGCTGTAACCGGTCGAGCTCTCGGACCATGAGGAGAGGTTTAAAATGGGAAGACCTGCCTGCCCTGGCCGGCTGAGCCCAAGGCTGTTCAACCCCTACAAATATGTGACTCCGCTGCGCTCCCTGTTTGGACTCAGCGACCTACACACTATGAGCCTTTATTGCTGAGAGGGTGAAACAGATGTCCCGAAACCAGGGCCAAAGGCCTCCTTTCGTTTTCCATACAGGAATCATTTTCTCTTCATTGCCCAGAAGAAGAGGAGGGAATTGCGCTATTTCTGGTTCCTGCTCTGAAAAACGGAGTGTCTGTATCAGACGTCCGGAGTTAATGAGCGAGGGGACGGCCTCGGTTGACCCTGCTCTGTCATATCGTTATGCTAATTTTTCATTTATGCCTATGAAACCATGGACACGTCATTCCTTTGAAGCGTATGCATGGCACAGAGCGCTTCTGCCTCCAGCAGTGGGCTTGGCAGATATGGAGGGAAATGGCGGTTTGTACGTTTGATTTTATATCTTCATAGGATGTGCAGTTTCCTCTCTTAAGTGAACAGATGACACTATGGCACGAGGCCCCTGTTTACACGCCCACTCCATTCTGCAGCGTAGACTTTTCCCATCGCTCCCAGCTATTCCAATTACACTTGGTCTGAGAGGCCGGAATTAGGACAAAGGACGGAGGAATTCCACTCGACACACAAGACACCCGCCCGGGGGACACCCAGAGAGAAGCCCCAACAGTGGTGATATTCGCTGAGCCTCCAAGAACCGAAGATGCAATTCCTCACATTCCCATGGAAAGACGAAAGCAATTTAAGGGGCTCGACTCCCTCTGGAATGGGGGACAATACAATTATTTAGTCACATAGCCAGTGAGCCAAATTGTTATTTCTGTCCAGAAACACACAAGACCCTTTTCATCTCTTTGGTTATGGTGGCGTCCATTTGTCCACCAGTGCTGTTTTGAAGTGTGGAGTTAGGGATGAAATTACATTAGAAAGGTGTCTAATAAAGATAGTAAAAGTCTCGTAAAAGGTTGTGTTGCACCTTTTTGGTAAGTCGTGGCACACTGTATGGATTACGCTGGAGAAAACCGCTTTCCTTCTACAGAATTATCTCTAGTAGGATGTGGCCCAGCTTGTCGAGTTTATCAGAACCAAATCACATCAGGTATGGAGGGCCTGACAGCGAGTATCACCGAGCCGGCTCTTTGCTGACCCTCACGGCACCGCTGGGGAGTCATTTCCAGCTTGCTGTCTTCTCCTGCCCCACTTTTCCCATGGGTAGCATTTAATTGGAAGCCACTTTCTGTGGAATCAGAGCCAACATGCACTGACACTCGGAGGCGTGGTGGGCCGTGTCTACCTGCCAGGGACTGGGGGTGCAGGAACAGGTGCCGGTGGCTAGATGGACGGGGAAGGGCCACAACCTGAGGTAGGGGGGAGGTCAATGACCCCCACGTGTAAATGAAGAGCTTAGGGGCTGAAAGCGCTCGTCCCACATTCCTCCTTACGCAACCCTCTGTCCTTTCTGTTCACACTTCCACTTTCACTGCCGAGCGAAAGGCACAGAAAAGCCATATGCCATATCATCCATCCATCCATTCATCCATCCATCTTCTACCCGCTTATCCTGGTCAGAATCACCAGGAAAGTGATGAGTTGCCTCTCTGGTGACTGGAGGCCATAAAAAAACATGGAGTTTCTTCCTAGCTTCCTTTCAGGTTTTATGACCTTCCTCATGGGCCTTAAATCCCGGCCTCTGCCAGCAGCGTTCCAGTATGGACCTGCTGACCTTCGGCAATGTCCGCACATAAAGCGTGGCCTCACCAGCT